GGGGGGGGGATCGGACCTTTCATTGAAATGGGCTCAGATACAGATGCTGACAGCTGGCTGCTCTGCCCTGCGCGAGTGTAGGATGTTCAAACGCCACTTCCAGCTGGCCGACAGCACCGGGCTGCCGATGTTCCTGCACAACCGCAACACCGGCTCGGACTTTTACGACCTCGTGCGCAAGTATCGGAAGCAGATTCGCGGCGGCGCTGTGGTGCACTCCTTCACCGGGACCCACGAAGAGCTGCAGATGGCTCTGGAGCTGGACCTCTTCGTGGGCATCAATGGCTGGTACGTGTGTGGCCTTGCCTTGCGCGATTTGTGTGCCTCTCCTCTTTTTCTTTTTCTTTTTTTTTTTGCATCCCTCTCCCCTCGCCTGCCCATGTCTTACCTGATGTTGGGGAAACACGCGCACACGCACACATCCACAGCTCCCTCAAGACTCAGGAGAACCTGGATGTGGTGAAGGCCATCCCGGTGGAGCGACTTCTCCTGGAAACCGATGGTCCCTGGTGCACCATTCGGCCATCGCATGCCGGGCATGGCTTCCTGCGGACCAAGTACCCGGAGTCTCGGCGCGACCGGCACAAGTCGCACACCCTGGTCAAGGATCGCGCCGAGCCGTGCCACATGAACTCGGTGCTGGAAGTAGTGACGGCGGTCCGGTATCCGGGCGGCCCGGCTGCCTTCGCCGCGCTGTCGGATGCCGAGAAGGATCTGGCCGAGCGCCGCCTGGCTGAGCGGGTGTACCGGAACTCGCTGCAGCTCTTCTTCCCGGAGGAGTATGCCCGGCTGCGGGCCGAGGAGGAGAAGCTGTCCACCGAGGGCATCGAGGGCCAGGTGACCGTGATCTCCATCGAGGACAGTGCCTGAGACGCGCGCGAGCGCGCGTGTGCTCCGCCGCCCAGGCTGCTGGGCGGAGGGGGGGGGGGGCGAGGCACCAACGCATGGGAGCCGCATGTGCGTCCCCCTCCCACTCGATGGCCTGGGTGGTGTCCGGCGTGTATATCCGTCGGCACCCTAAGAATAGACCCTAGACTCCGGTAGCAGATACCCCTGCTTGCACCCGCCAGGCCGCCGGAAAGTCAAACTTGAGTATGGGCCCGTGCGTGAAATCCCGACAAATTGGAGGATAAATAAAGATGAAAAACATGTTGGTGGCAGCAAAGCAGGCCAAGCGAAAGCGCCGGCACTTCCTCGCTCGAGCCTGATGGCGCGAAGACACCCGCGTTGGATTTTCCGCAGCAAACGTTGCACCCACCTTCAGGGTGGGCAGGGGGAAGGGGGGTGGGGGGGGGGGCGGAGGGACCGTGGATATTCGTGATGTCATGGGCTCTCCACCCATGGGCGGCCGCTTGTCATGGGAATCTCTTTCCCCCTCCCGCAACTTTGGTTGGAGCTCGTAACGTCCCGAGTGCGGGCACCGGGGGGGGGGGGGGCGTGTGTCTTCCGTCGGTGGTGTGCCCTTTGCCTGCTGTCCGCGTTCGCACTGTATCCCTGTGTGGACGTTGGCGCACAGCTTTTCGGCTCGGCGGGCTCCGCTCGCGCTGCGGTATGGGGGTCTCTGCCGCGAGTGCCGTGGGTGGTGCGAGAGGCCACGGTGCGGCAGAGGGCATGTATGGGTTTGTGTGTGTGTGTGTGTGTGTGCGGCCGAGCTGGCGGGTGCGTCCGGGTGCGGAGAGGATGCGATGACTGTTGGCATGTGCTTGGCCCTTTGGAGGGGTGGCAGCCCGGCCCATGCATGCTGGCCTCCACACGGCCGGCTGCCTCGGCCCCGCGCGCCCCCTGCATCGGGCTGGAGCCGGCAAGGGGGGGGGGGGGGGGGTAGGGAGTCTCTTACTCGGGGCGGGGAGCGAGGGGGGGGGGTAGTGCCGTTCGCTCCACCATTCGCCCGGTCCCCGCACAGAGGGCGAGGGCCGTTTCCCCGGAGGGGGGGCGAGGGGTGGGCAAGTAGTGCCCAACTCCCCCTGCCCCCCTCGCCCGCCACCCGCTGTGTGTGTGTGTGTGTGTGTGTGTGTGTTTGCCGTGCGTGTGTGGGACGGAGCATGTGCACAACATGCAGCGGCCTATTTTTCGGACTCCCCCCACTCACACTACCCCAACTCCCCGTCCTACTCCCTCCGTTTAGATTGTTTTTTTTGCATCTTTTCGCATCCGGAGAATTAAGTCAAGATGGTTCGTCTTGCATACTCTCCGCGCGCGCACACCCGACACGCCCTCCCCGCCTTCCCCCCCCCATCCCGCGTCTCCCTCTCTCTCTCTCTCTCGGTTGCTTTCCCCCCGGTTTCCCCTCTCCCGACCCCGGACAGCGCTCTCTCTCCTTCTCTCTCTCTCTCTCTTGCTTGCTGCATGGCGCATCGGCGTATGCACATGGACGCTCCCGGACTGCGCCTGCCCCTCCCCTCCTGCCCGTCTACACGCCCTCGGAGCGGCCTCATGTCTCCGGGGGCGCCGCGCTGGGCTGCTCTCCCGGGATAGTGTGCTATCTCTTTCTTCCGGATTTGGTGTTTTCCCGGGGAGAGCATGTGGCAGGTGGCCGTGTCGCGCTTCGGCCGGGCAAGATGTAGATTGCCCCTGGGACTGAGGGGGACAGCGCTCCCCCCCACCTTCCGACGACCGAGAGGAGATTTCCCTTTGGCGGGGAGCAACACAGAGAGATGGAGAGACCCCCCGGGGAGGGGAAGGGAGACGCCGTTGGCCTTCGCGCTTTTCCCCCCCAGTCGTGTCGTTGCTAATTCCGATTCACCTTTTTTTTCCCACATCCGACGACTCCCCATCACCCTTTTCCCCTTTCTCTTGCGCGCCCCCCCGCTCGCGCCGGAAAAAATGATGTGAACTCCCCTTGGTCCTGATGCTTGGCTCGACGACAGACCAAGGGTACCACTTCTATGGGTAAGCGCAACTCGAAGACTCACACCCAGTGTCTTCGTTGCAACAAGAGCTCCTTCCACATCCAGAAGAAGGTTTGCGCTTCCTGCGGCTACCCTGCTGCCCGCATTCGCTCTTGTGCGTCGTGCTATCTTTTTCCCCGCGCGCCCGCCTTGCCAGCGAGAGAGAGAGGGCCATCCATGTCTCTCTCTCTCTCTCTCTGGTGGCCTTTCTTTTGCGTGCCCCGCGGGCAGAGACACCCCTAACGCGCGATGCGCTCTTTGCCTCTGCCCTCTTCCTCCTCTCCTTTTCCCCTCTTTCACTCACCCTCTGTTGGCTTCCCTCTCCTCTCCCTCCCTCACACTCCCCAGTCAACTGGTCTGAGCGCGCCATCCGCCGCCGCACCACCGGTACCGGCCGCATGCGCCACCTGAAGCACCTCCCCCGCCGCTTCAAGAACGGTTTCCGCACTGGTGCGTTTGCTTCTCCCTGCTCTTTGTTTGGGCAAATGCCCCCCCCCTTCTCGGCGTCTTTTCCACCATCGTCCCCCTTTCTCCGGGTTTGGGCGCGCAGAGAGAGAGACCCCACCACACCACCGCGCTCTCCTGAGAGAGGTTGAGCCTCTGTGCGCGCGCCGCCTGTTGTGTGTGGGGATGCTGGTGGTGGGCATCCATGTGCTGCGTGTGTGTTTACGCGAGGGGGGGGAGCGCGCGCGCTGGTGATGATGGTGATGCTGCGCCCCCGCGACATGCCCATGCGCGCCCCGGTTCTCTCTCTCTCTCTGGTGGTCTTGCTCCTTCTCCCCCCCCCATCTCGTCGCCTTCTTCATGCCGTTTTCCTGACATTTCCTTGCCTCCTCTTGCCGCTGCGCTCCTCCTCCCTTTCCCTCTCTCCAGGCCACTCCCTCTTCGGCAAGAAGGTCGCCTCTGCCTAAGCAGCACATGCTTTTACAGAGTAGCAAAGCAGATATCGCCTTGTCGGCATACTTTTCCGATCCAAAATAATAACCAACTGTTCTGGTTTAGGGAATATACATTCCGACTGGCCATCTCATGCGCAGAGCCATTCCCCTCCCATACTCACATGTCTCCCGATATATGGATTCCTTGTTCATGATTGTTTGCTATACCCGCCCTCGCGGGGGGAGGCGAGGTCCCCTCTTCCGCGCGCGCGCGCGCGCGCACCCCCCCCTGTCTTGCTATTGCCTTTGCTTCCCCCTTCTCTCCTTTTTTCTGTCTCCCGCGCACCTGGAGGGTGTGTGTGTGGTGCGCACGCATCCTTTTCTGTGAGGGAGAGAGGTGCGGGAGGAGGAAGGAGCAGAGAAGGGTCTGCGGCGGCCACCTCGCGCGCTGTCCGTAAAAGCGCGAGGGCGCGGCGTCCAAGCCCAGCCCCTCCGGTGAAGGAGAGAAAACACGCGCGTGCGAGGAGGGGGGGGGTGAACACGAAAAAGGGAACGGAGGTGTGGTCCGATGGGTAGAGTGTGCGTATGCACCTCGTGTGAAACCGCGCGCGGCGCAGCCTGTATTTCCGCTCGCTGCTTGCCTCTCGAGCAACGGGAGCGGGCCATTGTGCCCCCTGGGACGCTCCTCGCGGCTGTCTTGGCCCAGCTCGGGGCGGCGGGGGGGGGGGGGGAAATCCGCCCCTGCGAAGCAAGAACGCGCCTCTCCCCCAATGCAGACGAGGAGGCCTCACTCGGCTGAGTGCTTCGTCACGTCGATGGGGGGGGCGAGAGGGGCGCGGGAGGCCGGACAGCCGCCTCCTCCTGGAAACCCTTGGGACATCAGCGCGCCCTCTCTGCCGGCTCCAGAGCCACCGCCTTGGGGGCTCTCCTCCAGTTTCCGCCTCAGTTGTTTGATTTCTAGGGCGCTGACGCTACAGCAAGTACCTTCCGATATATCAGCACACAGATGAGTCTAAATGAGCACGGATCCAATATACACGATCTAAGATGTTCCAGCATCGGGGCTGTACTGGCAGAAACCATCAAGTTGATTCCGAATCATTCACGATGAACTGGCAGAGGGCTCACCTGGTGGCGACAGCAACCACCGGCGCCTCCCCCTGCGTACGGAACAAGACGTCGGAACCGCCCAGAACGGAGATCGGCGAACCCGTTCGCCCAACATCCAACAGAGATGGCTCCGTCACCGGGTCAGGGGGCAGCCCGGTGGTTAACCGACAGGAGGACCGCCAACGTATGTGTTATCCGAGGGCGCTTTCTCGCCACTGCGCTGGCAGTTCAGCGCTGGCTTTCCATTCTTTTTCGTGTGGTGGTGGCCAGCCCTGGGAGTTCCGCCTTGCGGAGGCGACCTCACGCTCCCTTCTCCTGTTGGCTGCGCTCTGTCCATGTCCAGTGCATCCCCTCTGGGATTGAGGGGGGGGGGGTCGATTGAGAGGTCTAGGTGGTTCATCGGAAGCCGCTCTCCGCGCATCGATTCTCGGTGGGCCAAACCCCTCCTCGCCTCCCTCCATCTCTCTCTCTCTCTCTCTCTCTCTCTCTCTCTCTCTCTCCCCCTCTCTGTTCCTCTCCCCTGTCAAATTCTTCTCCTTTCCATTTCTTCGCGTCTCCGCCACGTACACGCACACAAGCTCTCCAGGACGGACCCCCTAGCTTTCCGCTCTTTTCGACACCCAGGCGGGACCTGAGCTCCGTATCGCACTCTCCTAGCCCCCCTTCCCCCCCCGGCACAAAAGCGCAAGGATGGACTTCCAAAACCGTGTCGGCTCCCGCACTGGCGGCGGAGGCATGGCCTCCGAGTCTGAGTCCAACCTGCAGAGGCGCCTCCGTCTGCAGAAGCTTGCCTCGGAGTTTGTTGAGCTCAAGAAGGATCCCTACTTCATGAAGGTGTGTCTCCATGGGGCTGCAGCCACACCGCCACCACCTTCATCGCCCGTTGCAACTTCCTCACACTCCACTGGGCTCTCTTCGCCCCATCCCCCCATCCCCGCCCTCCCACGAGGTAGAACCATCTTGGCTCGTACGAGTGCCGCCTGTGCCTGACCCTGCACACCAGCGAGGGCAGCTACCTGGCACACACCCAGGGCAAGAAGCATCAGACCAACCTGGCCCGGCGTAAGGCCCGCGACACCAAGTGCGTGTGCTTCCCTCGGGCCCGGGCTCCCACACACGCGCGCATCGGGGCCATGTCTGCCCGTCTGGCCTCCCCCACCGTCGCTGACCCTGCGTAACACCCGCGCCTCCGCCGCCCACCGCCCACCGCCCACCGCCCACCGCCCACCGCCCACCGCCCTCCCCCCTCCCCCCACCCGCTTCTTCCTTTCGGCCTGTGCCCAAAGGTACAATGATGAGCATGTCCCCTTGCCGAACGCCACAACTGAGCGCCCTCGCCGGTCGACTGTTTACCGCATCGGGCGCCCCGGCTTCCAGGTGACCAAGGTCCGCGACTACAGTCGCAACCAGCTGGGGCTCCTGTTCGAGATCGACTACCCAAACATCACCGAGAACGAGGTCCCGCGGCACCGGTTCATGTCTACCTACGAGCAGCAGGTGGAGGTGCGTTTTCTATCCATAGTCTCACTTGCCTGCAAAACGACGCCGCCCGGGGGCTAACCATCTCGCTCGGTCGCTCGGTCACCACCACCACCACCACCACCTCCTCCTCCTCCTCCTTCTTCCTATTCTCCCCCGCTGGACCTCCCACAGCCTCAGGACAAGAACTACCAGTTCCTGGTCTTTGCGGCCGAGCCATACACCAACATCGCCTTCAAGCTGCCTGCGCGCGAGGTTGACCGCCAGAGTGAGCGGTACTTCACCAACTTCAACCCCGAGACCAAGCGCTATACCATGCAGTTTATGTACCGGAATGCCCTGCAACCACATGGGGCTGGGCATTTGGGCCCGTTCGTCGGCGGGCCTTCTGTGCCGATGCCGATCCCGCGACCGGACGCGGGGAGCCTCGGCGAGGGGGCCAGCTCGGTCCCCGCTGGCGGCGACGATGCCCCAGCTCGCCCGGCCACCGGTGGCTCTTCCAATGAGGGAGACACCGAGGCCAAGCCCGCCCCCGCGGCATCTGCCCCTGGTCCTGGGGCTGGGGACGCTCCGCCGCCGATTCGCATGCCTCCGCCCCCGGGTGGTATGGTGCATGGTGGTGGCCACCACATGCCCGGGATGCCGGGCTTCCCGCCTCCTCACCCGGGCATGCCGGGCTTCCCGCCCCCCCATCATCCGGGCATGGCGGCGGCGCCGCCACACCCTGGCATGGCGCCCTTCCACCCTCAGGGGCCACCGCCGCACGGCAACATGGCCCCCTACTACCGGCCAGGGCCTCCCTATGGTGGCATGCCCCCTCCGCCGCCGCCGCACAACTGAGAGACCAACCAAGCAGGGAGGCGGCTGGACAATCGCGCCCTTTCTTCCCCTCCCCTCGCGCCTACATCCCCTCCCCGGTCCCTGTCTTTTGTTCTCCTCAGCTTGGTGGAGATGCCCTAATGAACGCAAGCAAGACACTCTGCTCTGTTTTCTCCTCTCTCTCTCTCTCTCCCTCCCTCTCTCTCTCTCTCTCTCTCTCCCTCCCTCCCTCTCTCTCTCTCCCTCTCTCTCTCCCTCCCTCCCTCTCTCTCTCTCTCTCTCTCTCTCTCTCCCCCTATGCCTGCCTCCCCCACGCTCAATACACGCCACATATACATGTCTCTCCTCTCCCCTGGCAAGACTGTCGATGTGAGCGCGCCCCTCTCCTGGGTGGCGCAGAAAAGGGGGCGCCCTCGGGGGGGACGTGCGCATGCGCAGGCCGGTGTCTCGCGCCGTCCTTTGCTGATCCTTCCCACCGGCTGGGGCCTGCGCTCCTCCTCCTCCCCTGGGCAGCCGACCGGGAGGCGCCTTTCGGCGTCTGCCTTTTTCACAAGCGGGCGTCGGCGGCACAAGCACATCCGTTGGCATGTCCCAGGGGAAGGCCATGGGCCATGTTGACCCGAGACCAGGGCCGCCCAGCATCGGGGGACCTGCCAGGCCGGCGGCCGGGGGAGATTAGAGCCGCGGCCGGGGCGTGGGCCAGAAGGCCAGGCTCTGGCTTCCGGTGCCAGGCGGTCTTTTTTTTGGCGGCGGCGGCGGCGGTGGCAGCGGCGGCGGCGTAGTCGCCACTCTGAGCACCAAGCTGGCGTGCGGAATGATAGTCTGCCTGCTGGGGGGGGGGGGCGCACGTGCGGGATCTCCGGCCCGCAAGGCTTACCTGTGCTGGGATCCGCACCACGCGCGATCCCGCGCACGCAATCTCCTCCGCAGGACAAGACCCAACTCCCCCGCCCCTCCCTCTCAGGACACGCAAGCCTTTTTTCAGATGGCCAGCCACGCTGGAGCTCCCGTCCCCGCCTCGATATTCCCCTCCCTCTCCCCTTTGCGGCCCTTTCACAGCCCCCGCCAGCCCCTCCATCGTCTCCCTGCCTTTCCGCGAACATACGCACGCATCCCTCCTCCGCCCCCCTCCACACATACATACATCACCCTCCTCCCTTGCCCACCCCTCTCCCTCCCCTCGTCGCCTTGGGTGCGTGCGTGCACGACAACTTGCGCGTGTCAACGGTCCCGCTCTCCCTGCGATCGGCAGTTCAGCGCCTTTCCTCCAATATGGTGACCTTGCCGGCCGAGGGTGCCTGGCCCCATGGGTGGTTTCCCGGATTGTGGCGCGCAACCTCTGCCGATGCCGAGATCCCGGCTCAGCAGCCGGACTACACCCCGGCCGTGGTCCGGCACTTTAGGGGCCAGCCTATGATGGCGCCAGGCGATCCTATCCAGGAGAACGCCCAGGCCGACAAGACCGCGGCCATGGTGCATGGGTTCCTGGCTGGCCAGCCGGGGCTGGTTTCGCCTGCTTCGATTGAGACCCTGTCCTCTGCGCTGACTGGGCCCCAGAGAGCGCCGTTTATTCTGCATGCCGGCCCCTGTGCTGAGATGTTTGCCGATCAAGATGGCCAGGGCCCCAGCAGTGCCAGCGGCCTCGTCGAGTGCCGGGCCACCCCGGAGTCCGGGTGTGGAAGCTGCCGCACTGGCGAGTGCCCTGTGGCATATGCACAGCACCTCAACCGGGTGTCAGATGCTTTTGTTGCCATGTCCCCCGGTCACTCTGATGCCGGGGTTGTTCGGATCTGGCGCGGCGCTGGCCAGGTACGTACCAACAGGTGCCCTGCCTGTGGTCCTATGCTGTCCCCTCCCTGTGCACCAGCTCCTCTGACCCGTAAGACCCACACACACACACACATGTATACATATATGCGCATGCATGTTTGCATGTATACATATATGCGCATGCATGTTTGCATGTGCACATTCATGCATGGCTTGGATTGGTGTTGGCGTCGCAGTACGGCAAGCCACGCTCCTCTTGCTTCGAGCAGTCTCCCTTGACCGGTGAGCGGATACTTTCCTATCGGTAAGTGCATGCACACACACACACACATGACAATGTCACAGTCACACCTCCTGCAACATCCCTCCCCCTCCCCCCTCAGACTGACTCTCTTTCCCTTGCGACGTCCGCAGGGGCGATATGATCAACTCCGATGCTCCATGCGGTGCGGCGCGGTCGCACGATCCTCGGCGCCTGGTCCGGTGCGTGCCCCTCCGTACGCACGCCTTGGGGACATTGATTAGCTAGGGGACTGACATTCTGCCGGGCACCCTAAGTGCGCACGAGGCAGCCCGCGGAGCCTTGGATCGCCTCGGTGCCCATGGATACCTTTGGAGCCCGAATGACGCTGACAGCCACCAGGCCATCTTCACCTCGCACGAGGCGCTGGTCCTTTCGTATGAGGAGTCCCAGACGCGCGTGGAGCAATGGGCCTCGGGTGGCCAGCTGGCCGCGGCCTACGCCACCAGCGGACACCTGGTGTGGGTGGGCGACCGGACTCGAGACCACCCTGGCACGGGGCCACGGCAGCCTAGTGGCCATCTCCTCTGGGCCCAGGGGGTCCGTAATCCCCTGGGGATCAAGCTGTCGGCCAGGGTGTCGCCGGAGGCGCTGGTTTTCGCCATCCGATCGGGGCTCGGCTGCGAGCAGCTCTTTCGCCCGGCGCCCGGGGTGGCGGCCTCATCCCAAGCAAATGACCCCCTACCTGGGCGCGCGGTGCTGATCATCGCACGATATGGGGCCCGCGCGGCCCCGCGAGCCGTGGGGCAGCACATTCGGATCCTCCGTGCGGCCGGGCTTATGCCGGGCGACTCCGGCCCGATGGATGGGGATGGTCGCATCTTTGCCCAGGCCCATGCAGCAGCGGCAGCGGTCCTGGGCGCCGGCCCGCGGACCAACCTCCTGGGGGACGCCCCGTCGGGGGCATTTGGCGAGCTGCTCGGTGGGGCCTTCCGTGGGTGGGCCCCTTCGGGCCGGGAGGTGGCGGACATTGCACGCGTGGCAGCCCACCGGGCGGGGGAGCTGTGTGCCGTTCCCGACGCAGCCCTGGAGGTGGATGCCCTTTTGGGGCGGGCCCTGCCTCGGGGGACCTCCCTCGCCGCCTGGCCGGCACCCCTCCTTAGGGCTCTTGGCCAGCATGTGGATGAGGTGGCCCGGGCGGCGGTGGCCGCCGCACGCGAGAACCTGGCTGACAGTGCTGAGGAAGCGCCCCTCGAAAGTCCGGACCCCTGGCTGCTGCCTTGTCGTTGTCGTTCCTGCGCTCGGGCCCGGGTCCACTGGCTGGCGGACCCGATGCACGGGAACACGGTGTCCATTTCTCCCCGAGTGGACCCGGGGGTTTTGGCCCCGATGAGCGACCCGGCCACAGCTGGGGAGGCCGTTCGGTGGGCCGTCGGCCCTGGGTCTCCGAGCGCCCCCTCCAGCCCGATGGAACTCCCGCTGGCGGAGGAGCCGGCTCCGCAGGCGGGGGTGCCAACAGCGGCATGCCGGGGGTGTGCCCCGCCGCCGGATACCTTCCGGCCGAAAACCCGACACCTGCGCGCGCTGGCGGCCGAAGTGTGTGCGCAGCACATCGGCCTGGGGCCCGGGGCCTCCCTCGGGGGACTACACATGGAGGTGGCCCCGCGCCAAGTCAGCGGTATGTGTCTCCCTCCCCATCATCGGCCTCTGGTGGCCATGCCTCTTTCTCCCTCTGCCCCTGTTTGTCTGTCTGGCCTCTTTCGCTGCCCGATCCTCCCCTTGCGCATTGCTGACATGGCGCCGTCTGCCCTGTGCTTTCGACCATCCATGCGCTCCCCACCTCCCCCTCCCCCTCATGTCCCGCTCGGGCGCAGAGTGTGTGGACGACACGAACGAGCAGAACACCGCGGCGGCGGTATTTTCACAGGCCTGGCGGGCAGCCGCCCGGCATGGCTCACAGTCGTGTGTCGCCTGCAATGGACAGGCCTCGCCCTACCTGACGGCGTGCGATCCGCGACTGTCCGCCGGGCAGTCTGTCTTCCTGGCGGAGATGACCGCCCGGCTACTGAGTCTCGGGCCGCTGGCCCGGTGAGCCCGCCTGTGGCGGGGTACGTCGCGTGCAAAATAAACACCCAGGCGTACAAACATGTATCTGCGCATGGCTACTGCAGTACAGGGAGATAACAGCATCTGGCTCTGGGGCGTGTCTTTTCTTTTTCTATTTTCCCCCGCCTCCGGGCCGGGGCGGTGGTGGCGGTGGTAGTCATGGTCACACAGATGTACCTAATTACCGACGAAGTCGTGAAGATGACAGGACTCCCGCATGACGGTCAGCATGACGGAGGGGCGAGTCGCGGGCGGTTTCGCCGAGTCGGTGCTCTCCTCCTCCGGCTTCTGAGACGGGCGAGCCGAGGTGCCGAACAGAGTGAATGCAATGTGCACGCTGGGCTTGTCGCTGGGGGGGGGGGGGGGGGGGGGGGGGGGGGGGGGAAAAAAAACCCGGCAGAACTTGCCGAGGAGGCGCACCGGCACGCCACAAGTATTTCCTTCGTCGGACGACTGAATTTCAACCTGCCCTCCGCAGATCCGAACCGCCTGCTGCTCCTTGGTGAAGGTGTGGCCGGTGAGCGGGGTG